AGCTCTTAAAGCTCTGGTGCTAATTCAAAGTGCTGCAATTTATCGACAGAGTAGTGTTTTGGCAAATCTTTAGGAATTGTTTGGTGCATTTACGATGAGGCACCCACCCAGAGCCTCTGGCATTTTCTCACTCTGCTGGCATCAAAACCAATTTAAGGCAAAATAAGAGGCTACTGAGAGGGGAGGAGATAAAGTTGCCAGCTTTAGGTATGGAAAATCCTGGAGATTTGAGGAGTGGAGGCCGGAGAGGGGGACCTCAGACAGGTTACAGTGCCATAGACTCCACCCTCCAACCCAGCTATTTGCTCCTGGGGAACTATTGTTGCCAATCTTGGCCCAGCACCCATCAAACCATTCTCTTCAACCCCCTGCTGTGCAGCTGACTTTCCCCTAGGGTTGCCAATCTCCAGGTGGGACCTGGAGATCTCCCACTGCTACAATTGATCTCCAGATGACAGAGATCAGTTTCCCCTGGAGAAAATGGCTGCTTTGGAGGGTAGACCCTATGACATTATACCTGCTGAGTCCTTCCGCCCCCCCCCAATGCTGCCCTCTACAGAATCCACCCCCCAACACTCCAGGTATTTCCCTCCTTATAGCTGGCAACCCTACTTTCCCCTCAGTGCCTGATGGTAGGCAACTTAGTTTGGTCCAGTCACCTACTTTGCCCTTTGGAAGAAAACATATTGGGGCCAATCCTGATAGGGTTGCCAACTCCCGATGGGAAATTCCTGGAGATTTGAGGGATGGAGCCTGAAGAGGGTGAGGTTTGAGGAGGGGTGGGACCTCAGACAGGTACAATGCCATAGACTCCACCCTCCAAACCACTCAGTCCTTCATGGGGAACCATTGTTGCCAATCTCCAGGTGAGGGCTGGAGACCACTCAAAATTACAATTGCTCTGCAGAAGGGAGGGCGGAAGTCAGCTGAAGTCAAAGGGGCAGATAATGGTAGGTTGATGGTTAGCTGTGAAGGCGATGGGGTTGCCAACTCCAGGCTGGCAAATTCCTGGGGATTTGAGGGGTGGAGCCTGGAGAGGGTGGGGTTTGCGGAGGGGTGGGACATCAGACAGGTAGAATGCCATAGACTCCACCCTCCAAACCAGCCATTTCGTCCTGGGTAACAATTGTTGCCAATTTCCAGGTGAGGGCTACAGATCACTCAAAATTACAACTGCTCTTCAGGGAGCAGAGATCAGTTCCTCTGGAGAAAACAGTGGACTCTGCCATTATACCCTGCTGAGGTCACCACAGCAAAAAGACACTGTTTGCCCAAAGCCAGAGCACTCCCCCAGAGCCTCTTTCTAGATCCCGTTGTATTTATTTCCACAACGGGCTTTACTGCTAGTTTCGTTATAATGGCAACCGTGGAACTGTGGGATCAACTCTCTGAGACTAAACGCTGTGATTTTCACTTTGGAGTAAGAGTTTATTCTTCCTCCTGTTACTGCTAGGGGAGGAGCTGTGGGTTAGGGGCGGAGCACTTGCTCGGTGTGCAGAAGGTCCCAGGTCTGGTCCCTGGCATTTCCAGTTAAAAGGATCAGGTACGAGGCAATGGGGGGGGGGACAGGAGGGGAGGGAAGAAGAGATGTTGCACCTTAAATTGTGTCATCTTAAGCCAACTCTCACCTATTCTCAAATGGGCTTCTCTGTTCTAAAACTCACACCTACTGGTTTTTCCACACACCCTCACACCACTGTCCTCCTCCTTCTCCTCTTCTGCTTTCTGGAGGGCCATCGTATTGACAAACGCAACAATCAATGTGATCCAGGCAGATCAGGAGGATGGGAATCCAGGCTCACTGACCTGCTGTTCAGTTAACCCCAAATGGAGCAGATCCAACCAACCTTCTTACAATTTATGCGGTGCTTCCTCCAACAGAAGCACCCCAATTATCCCAGTTTGGCCTGAGCCTGACAGGCCTTGGGAGCTAAGGAGGGGTTGGCTGCAGTTAGTACTTGAATGGGAGACCACCAAGGGTTGGCTTCGTGGAGGGAGGTAATGGCAAACGACCTCTGCTCATCTCATGCCTCGAACACCCCATGAAAGGGGTTGGCATGAGTTGTCTATGACTCAACGGCATGTTCTTCTTACTCCACTTCAGTTGGACAATGCCTCCTTAGACTGGAGGTGTGGTACAAATATTTTAAATAGCTGAAATCTACTCAGTGGCATGATACGATAGGGCTAGGAATCACCACACCATCCTTCTGTAGGAATAACTCCATTCAGGTCCTAGCTCAGAACTGCCTGCCCCAAATCAGGTATGCTACGGATCCAGAATTTCGATTCCAATAGCAGCTGCATAGATCAAGAGGTTCACTCAGAAGCAATACATGGAGAAGTATCACTTCTATTTATTTATTTATTATTTCGATTTGTATCCCACCCTTCCCAGAAGCGGGCTCCGGGCGGCTCACACCAACCAACAGAATACAATCTTAAAAATAAGTCAGGACTTAATAAAGAGCAGTATAAAACAATACAATAAAACAATTTAAAACATTTAAAACATTTAAAGTGGGCAGTGCAATATATTAGTTCGACTCCTGTAGCCCGAGTAGATGGTCCAGCGCCAAGCCATAATGATCTCATACGGTAGCAGCTAGAAGATGGGTATCATTAGGCAAGAGAAGTTAAGAATCACTAGAACCTGCAGTTTTGACTTCTAGCCACTTTCAGAAGGATCGTTCTCAACTTAAAACCCACAGTCTCTTCAAAGGGGAGTAATTAAAACCTAACCGACATTAACACCCAACTCTCATGTCATTTTAACCCTAGCCACCAAAGTGAGCTTAAGTAACATAAGAACATAAGAGAAGCCAATGTTGGATCAGGCCAAAGGCCCATCCAGTCCAACACTCTGTCACACAGTGGCCAAAAATACCAGGTGCCATCAGGAGGTCCACCAGTGGGGCCAGGACATTAGAAGCCCTCCCACTGTTGCCCCCCCAAGCACCAAGAAGACAGAGCATCACTTGCCCCAGAGTCCCTATCTATACCTTGTGGCTAATAGCCACTGATAGACCTCTGCTCCATATGCATATCTAATTCCCCTTTTGAAGCCGTCCATGCTTGTACCCGCCACCACTTCCTGTGGCAGTGAATTCCATGTGTTAATCACTCTTTGGGTGAAAATGTACTTCCTTTTATCCGTTCTAACCCGACCGCTCAGCAATTTCATTGAGTGCCCATGAGTTCTTGTATTGTGAGAAAGGGAGAAAAGTACCTCTTTCTTTACCTGCTCTATCCCATGCATAATCTTATAAACCTCAATCATGTCACCCCTCAGTCGCCGTTTCTCCAAGCTAAATACAAGTATGCTGTTTGGTGAATCTTCAAAGCCAAAGAATTTCACATTCAGGGCTAACCACCCAAAAGGCTGTGCCTTTTCTGCCCTAACTTAGTCTAAAGGTAAAGGGCAGTTTTGGTTAGCTTTTTATGATCATGATGAACCGGCATGCCATTGAAATCAATTGATGGCAGGTTGCTGCTATCAGAAAAAACATTCTGAGCATCAGTTCCTTTTAGAATTTCTATGGTAGAATTGCAGCCGTGAAGATCTTGACTTGAAACATGCTTAAAGTCCAGGATGCATGTAGAAGAAGAAGAGGAGGAGGAGGAGGAGGAGGAGGAGGAGACTGGATTTATACCCCGCCCTTCATTCAGAGCGGTTTACAAACTCCTTTCCCTTCCCCTCCCCACAACAGACACTCTGTGAGATAGGTGGGGCTGAGAGAGCTATTTTGAGAACTGCTCTTTCAAGGACAGCTCTTGTCAGAACTATGGCTTGCTCAAGGTCATCCAGTAGCAGCAAGTGGAGGAGTGGGGAATCAAATCCAGTTCTCCCAGATTAGAGTCCGCACACTTAACCACTACACCAAACAGGGAAGAAATGCAGAAATAAATGAATATGAAAGCCTGGTAAAGCTTTTGTCTCTTGGTCTTGCTGGGCTCCCAGTGTGGTGTACTCTCTTGAAGGTCTATTAGAAACCTGTCATGACCAAGACATGTATGGAGGCAATGGCTCCCATAAGGGAAAAAGTAAATAGAATATGATATGCCAGTGGATGGTTGTCTAATATGTCAAAACAGACCCTTGAATTAAACCTGGAAGAAACTAGGCATTAACACAGATGCTAGACTGATGATGTTATGCAATCAGTAGCTGCACTCTGTGCCACTAGAAGCTTCCAAAGATAATCCAGGAGCCGAACAGCAGAGGACGCTACAGTAGTCCTAACACCTCCCTGACAGGGCTGTTCTGCCACCTGGTTTCCCTGACAGGGCTGTTTTCTTTCCCTGGTTTTCTTTCTCACATAGTTCTTTTGTTTTACTTTTTATGTTCCCCACTTCAAGCGGCTGGGAAAGCTTTCAATAAACAGTTCAAACAAATAAGTCAGATTCAGGGCACTGGTAAATGAGAGCCAGTGTAGCATAGCTGCTAGCATGCTTGAGTTTGGCCACAGAGCCCGAGGTTCAAATTCCCCACTCAGCCACGAGGCTCAGTGAGTGACTTTGGGCCTTTCCCTGTCGAATCTACCTCAGCCTAAATAGTAGTATAATTCGATGCTAAATCACTCCAGTCTAAGCCCACTGAAATCAAATGCTTTATTCAGATGAATCTCTCCAGAAGGCACCTTTTAAGAACTGGCCCCTAATATTTGCAGTGTCCCCGCTGAACTATAGCTACCCTTGCCATTTTTGTTCTTACTCCCCCTCTCGATGGGCTCTGGGAAACTTTTTCCCGCCTCTTGGGCCAGGTGGCTAATTTATCCGCCTGACCAGGAAGAAGGTCTCCATCCAGAGGATGCCAAAGCCACGTTTTACTTCTTGGAAGTGCTGATCTACCTCCTCTCCAGATATCTGCTCAAGACAGCATCCGACTTTTTAGCCATTTGATACCTCACTCGCCCATCAGGAGTCCTAATGAGTTAATCCCGAGTTGCTAGGCAGTTCCGTTTCATCCAGAATACAAACACCGAGCAAAAAATCATTACCTTTTTCCCATGGGCCGCTCCCATGATTCTCTGTATCCGGTGGCGTCCCCAGCCAACAGTTCTGGATTAGCTTTTGCTAGGTGTATGCACGTGGAAGACAGGAATGGCTCTTCTGGGGATCCTTATTATCTGTCCCTGCTGCTCGGCCCACTGTTCGTAGACCGTCTCATTCTGCATCCAGGGTGCACACGTACAGCTCCGTGCACTCCCATCTACTCGCAGCGTAGGAAGGGCTGAGAAGCCACTGCAGGATCTTCAAGGTGGCCAGTGGAAAAGTCCCCCCCTTGATGGCTCAGCCTGGCATGTAAAGCATTCATCTTTTATATACCTAACAAGCGGCTCGCACACTGCCAGGGGCGACACACAAAGGCGGCTTTCATGCCCAACCTCTGAGCAGGGCTCCGTATTGTGGAAGCCTGTTGAAGATTAGAGTAATCAGACTTGACACAGCAAGATGCCACGGAAGGCAGAAGGGCTCCGAGAAGAAGGAATTCAACCTGCTCGGCACAGGCGGGCCCCAGGAGGGCCGGTATTTCTGCTCGACGGGGGGGCCTCGTGCCATCTTCCTCTCTCTGCCCCCTCTCCATTTGCTCCTCACCCTGATGCAGCTGTGGCCAAAGGACCTGGGAAAGAAACACAGTGAGAGATCCATTTGGGGAGAAAGGACACGATGGGTTACTGTCCCTGCCCAAGCTGAAGCCACTGCTGGGCTCCTGCGATCACACAGAGCCAGCCGGGCAGTTCTTCAGCTCTCCCCCAGTTCCCTGCCAAATTCTTGCTGCTGCCCACAGAAGGGGAACAAAACAATACCGTTGCATAATGGAAGGAGGCAGGCATGGAGCAAACGAGCCTGAGCCGAAAAACACAGTCCTTTGCTGTCTGTGGTTTTATATCCCTCTAATAGCATTACTGGCTCGATGCTGTGTACGCTCACTAAGAAGATATGGTACGAGCTGAACCTCAGTTTAGACCTGAGTCTCACTGAATAGCATTAAGAAAGGCAAGACTTGGTTACCAACCTCCACTGGATGTAAGGTTGCCAATATCCAGGTGGGGCCTGGAGGTCTCAAAGAATTATAACTGATCTCCCGACAACGGAGATCAGTTCTTCTGAAGAAAATGGCTTCTTTGGACTCTGTGGCACAGTAGCCCGCTGACTTTTTGCCACTATGTTGCTGTTGTTGTTGTTCAGTCGCACAGTCGAGTCCGATTCTTCGCAACCCCATGGACCACATCACGCCAGGACCTCCCGACATGCTCCGGAGTTTGCTCAATTTCATGTTCGTTGCATCTATGACACTGTCTAACCATCTCCCCCTTTGCCGTCCCCGTCTTCTTTGACCTTCAGTCTTTCCCAGCATCAGGGTCTTCTCCAGTGAGTGCTCCCTTCTCATTTGGTGGCCAAAGTATTTGAGCTTCAGTTTCATTATCTGGCCTTCCAGGGAACAGTCAGGGATGATTTCTTTTAGGATTGACTGATTCGATCTCCTTGCAGTCCAAGGGACTCTCAAGAGTCTTCTCTAGCAACATAATTCAAAAGAATCTATTCTTCGGCGCTCGGCCTTCCTTATGGTCCAACTCTCATAGCCATACATGACTACTGCCACTATACCCCTTCCCCAAACCCCAGACTCCCCAGGCTCCACCCACAAATCTCTAGGACTGGAGTTGGCAGCCATAGCTGGGAGTCACAATGGGGCCTCAAAGTTCCCCTCTGAGTCCTCTTTACTTCACCCAGACCCAAAGCAAACATCATGTGGAAGTAAATCACATGACCAGGGCCCTTGGAATTTTGCTTCCCCTCTCTCGGTGGCCCCTCCAGACAATGACAGTCACATCTGTACAATGAGCATGTGGCAGGCCCTATTCTGCCCTGCCCTCCTAGGAGTTCCCACCTGCATGGAGGGGCTTTTCTTTCACTCTGTAATGTATCCAGTCCAGACAAGTCCAGAGACAAACGTCGAGCTTCGCTCCAAGAGACAATGGACTATGCGGATCCTAGCCTGCTCCAATCAGGGGGCTAGATTCCCGGCCGAGAGCCTATGGGACTCTCGGCCACTGTAAATAACCTATAGGGAAGTAGGGGTGTGTTTTGGGTGGCAGTTTCTCGGGGGATATAAGCCGGCCTGTGAGCTGGCCAAAGTTGTCTTGTTCCGGATAGAATAAAGTACGCTTTGCTGAAATCACTCTCCGTTTGCGTACTTTTCACACTCTCAGGTAGCCTGCTGCCGCCACCACCTGCCCTTTTTGCAACAAAATGCCCGCTGGGAGGGACAGGACTCCCAGCTTCTCTTTCAAGATCTGAGGCCTTGCCTCTTTGTCTCCCACTGCCCAACGCCCGGTCCCTATGAGGACAGATTACTGCCTTGTACGCCCCTGGGAGAATAGCCACTTGCCAACTGACTGCCTTCCCCCCTCCTGGTGCTCCTTTTAAAATAGTGTGTCTGGGAAGGTGGAGGTCTATCTATCTAGTACTGCTCACACGGCTATCACCTTAAGCAGAAATTAGAACCAAAGAAAATATTTAAAAAGACCGCAGTATTATTTCTCTTATATTTGATTATTGTGCCTATGGATTTTGCCACTGAGAGGGTGACACAATCTTTGGTATCCGATAGTAGCCATGACACCTGGGCTCGCACATTTAGAAGTTCCATATCTTTAAGTAAAGGGGTGACTAAATTAGCCCTCAACTCATCGAGTACGGGGCACTCCATAATCATATGTTCAATGGTTTTGATTGTATGCTATGAACATCTGCATGTTCTATTAGAGTATGATACTTTATTGTATCTGCCCTCCAAAACTGCCGAGGGAAGGAAGGTGGAGGTCTATGTGGTACAGAGAGCTATGGTCAGCATCAGAAGTTATGAAGTATTTATTAAAAAGAAAATGTTTACAAGCATATTTTTATCACAGCTCCAGACTGAGCAAGGGAAACCAAAAGAAATGGGTAAAAACGCAAATCCTCTGTACCTCTCACTATACACGCCCTGTCTAATGGTAAAATAGGACAGGCTCTTTAAGTTTAGGAAGTTACAAATCCTTACAAATTTTCAATTACCTTGAAGATCCCTCCTTCCATAGGCGAGCACATGGTCAATGGCTGCCGTCCCAGAGGAGAGGTCTGCGTGCGTGCTCTCATGTTCTCAGCATCCCAGAAAAAGGGACTGCCTTCCTCTCACCCAGAGATCTCTGGTACTCCACCCCCTTTGACGTCAGTCAGTGCAGGTCAAGGAAGCCTTTCCCATCATCTCTAAAAAGTTCCTTCCTCAAGCCTGTCTAGAATCTGACACCCCCCAACTCTCTGTTCCCTGACCAAAGAAGGAGGGGGGAGAAGGGGGAAGCTTGACCATCCCATTGTCTCTAGCTAGATACATTACCACCGGACCCCGCGCCCCCAGCCTCGAGGGGAAAAAACTATTAAAACACAAAGTGAAGGCTGTGCTCCTTGCCAACCTCCCAGGAGAAAATGCATTTCTTCACAGAGCATAATATTAATGGCCTGCTACATTTTTCTGAAAGACCTCAGAGCACTATGTTAGCCTCCTACTACTTTAACAACATGCCTCAAAGAATCCAGGGAACTGTAGTTTGGTCAATTGCTGGTATTCTGTGGGAGACACCTAAGCAACAATCAGTGCTGTATGTTTGCAGTTTTCATGTACCTACCTCAGTCATGTGGGGAGTTATTCTCACAGGTAAGCAGTTCCCAGTCAGCTGTGAATGGGAGTGTGAATGAGGCCTTCAAAACTGGTTGGTTTGAATGCGTATGTGGGAGCAGTAGGAGGAGCTATAAGTCCAATCAGACGGTTCCCTCTTCTCAATTCCATGGCCTGTCTTCCAAAAGGTGTTGGCAGGAGATCTCCCAGAATTCAAGTGGCCTCTAGGTTACAATAGGGTTGCCAGACCCCCTGGTGGAGGCGGGGGTTTCCTGTTGCCAGGCCCTACTGCCAGCAGGAGATGGGGGGACTTACCGGGAGAAAGAAGCTTCTCCCACGCCTTGGATGAGGTAGTATCACTCTTCATGACCTCTTCTCTTCCTCCTACCCCCCTTCTCAAGATTTCTGGAGTGTATGTGTTTATTGGGAGGGTTTTACTGGTGCAGTTGTATTCATGAATTGAAAGGGTTTGCAATTTTGGTCTGCCTCTACTTGTATATCTCAGTGCTAGTAAATAAATATTTAATTTAGTTTGAATTAATGAATCTTTGTTACTCTTTTTTTGGGGGAATGTTACACAGGAATAAAACCTCCACATACACTTTGCTTACCTGACGGGAGACTCTGTAACATGCTAATTTCCCCCTCTCTCGGTCTAGTTCGGGTAACACCATTGGGATTTTCCATCTAGTTCTGCAGGTCCTGGTGTTCAGCTACAGGTCCTGCTGTTCATTTCACTATCGATATGGACTCCGCTCACTGTTGTCAACTTTGTCTGACAACCTTGTTTCCCTGAACATAATCTCCTCTCCTTGACGGCATGTAATACCACAGAGTCACAATGCCAAAGCTCTAGAGGGAGAGCCACGTTTTGTGTGTGGCAACAAAGGCCTTTTCCACACAGATTTATCTGCCCTGGGTTCAGTGTTGTTGGGAAGCATCCCCCCCCTTCCCCACAGCATTGTGGTACATTTGTGCACCTCCCAGGATTTCCTCAGCTTTTCACTAATCTTTCTCAAACCTGTTTTGCTGTGAAGTTTTGGGAAAGATCGCAGGAAGCTGGGACAGCTGGCACATGAGTGCATGTGAAAGGGGAAGTCTGGATTTTCTCTACCATATGGCAGCCATTTTCTCTTGACATCAACCCCATTGCAGCCATTTCCTCCCTCCAGCCACTGTTTTCAAAAAATCAGCAAGTGAATATTGGTATATTGATATGACGTTATAACAATACATTTAACAGTTCCTCTGAATCCCCAGATTTCATTATAAAAGTGTATCTCTAGCCCCTTCCGTTGAGCACTTTCCATTATGGAGATATAAGGAGACTGGCATATCCTCGCAATAGAAGGAGGTAGGGACTTTAAAAAATGTTGAGACTCCAGAGAATCTGTTGCAAATAATATTGTTATAATATCATATTAATGTAATGTTCAGATGCTGATTTAAAACTAACAACAAACCCCTCTCAGTGACAGCGGTGAGGGGATGGTTACTACTGGGGAAGTGGGTCAGGAAAACCGCAGGGAAACTTGCCATGTGGAAGCCCCGTTGAGCATTGATGCTTCATTGTGTTGACAACCACACAAGCCCGTCCCCATGTGGAAACCACAGGGACTCTGGCATCTGTACTCAACTGCACTTTATGTAATTTATTTGTAATTTGAAATTTTATAATATTGCATTTATTGTGTTTTATTGTATTTTAAACTGTTGTACGCCGCCTTGAGCCTGCCTGTGCAGGCAAGGCGGGATATAAATCGAAATAAATAAATAAATAAATCTTAACAACGCATACTTTTTTATTCCCTTGTAAGCTTTCAATGGACAATGAAGAAAGCTGACAAGAAGAAAATAGATTCCTTGGAAATATGGTGTTGGAGGAGAGTTTTACAGATACTGTGGATCGCCAAAAAGACAAACAAGTGGCTCCTAGGCCAAATCAAGCCTGAGCTCTCCCTAGAAGCTAAAATGACTAAATTGAGGCTATCATACTTTGGTCACATGTGAGAAGAGAAAAGACACTAATGCTAGGAAAAGTTGAAGGCAGCAGAAAAAGAGGAAGACCCAACTTGAGATGGATAGATTCAGGGGTCATTTTCTGCAGGAGCGCACAGGAGCGGAGCTCCGGCAGTAAAGAGCCCAGGGGGCGGGCACATGCAACAAGCCCCACCTCCTGCTCCCAGCAGCCCTCAGTCAGAGCAAGAAGCAGCCAGGTAAGCTGCAGAGCTCCCCCCGGTCCAAAACAGTCCAGTGGCACCTTTAAGACCAAGTTTTATTCAGGTAGGAGCTCTCCCTCCTCTGCGAGGACAGATCTGCACGTCCCCCCCCCCAATAGCTAGCAATCCAAAACAGTCCAGTGGAGCCTGAGCAGTGGGTGTTGCCTTCTGACACACTTCCGGTGATGTCAGGGTGTGTGGCATATGCAAATAAATTATGCTAATGTGTTATGCTAATGAGTTATGTTAATGAGCTCCTGCACCTCTTTTTCTATGAAATGACCCCTGGATAGGTTCAATGAAAGAAGCCAGGCTCTCAGTTTGCAAGACCTGAGAATGGCTGCTAACAATAGGATGTTTTGGAGAATGTTAATTCATAGAGTCACCATAAGTTGGAAGCAACTTGACGGCATTTAATACACAGGCAAGCTTTCATAGACACATATATACACATGAGAGAGGGCTGGAACCTGTGAAAACTTCCACCAGTGGAAGAGGAGGCAAATTTTGGTGCATACTGCAGACCTCTCTTGTGCCATTTCTGGGGGTTCCACAAGACTTCTTTTGATTTAAATGGGAGAATTAAGCCTGTGCTTTCCTGTTGAAATGAATGGGGTATAAAGTGGCTTGAGTTTGCCTGGGTTACTTTCCTTTGATCCCAGTTCTGTTAAGGAGCTATAAACTTTCCACTCTTCCTACTTAATGAAAGGTCGCCCCCTGGTGGCAAGAAGATAAAAATGTAACCTGGCAAATTATTCTCATGGTACTTGGAGTACTTTTATTTTCAGTGTAGAATATAGGGATGCTTTCATGAAAGAGTATTCAATTCCTTGCAGAGATGGCTGCACAGATGCATTCTACATATGGAGTGTAGAGCTTTGTGGACATCTGGAGTTTCATTTGATGCTTCTATCGCAAGAAGGAAAACACCAAAGAACCAAACACACATAAATATTGCAAATATTTAGTCAAAGACATTTCAGTATAAATCTTATATACAAGACAGCCACATGTGATATGGCCAGTTTTTTTTTTTAAAAAAAGAAACTCAGGAACTGGGTGTGGGGAGAGCCAGGATGACAACCCTGCTTTGCTATGAAGCTTGCTGGTTGATTTTTGGGTCAATCACTTTCTCCCACCCTCAGTTACCTCACAGGGTCGTTGTGAAGATAAAATGGGAAATGGGAGGAAAGGAAAACCATGCATGCCACTCTGAGCATTATCATAAATGGGTTGGATAAAAATGCAATAAAGAGATAGATAGATTTTGGAACATAGAAGAAGAAAAGGTTGGATTTATACCCCGCTTTTCACTATGTGAAAGAATCTCAGAGCAGTTTACAATATCCTTCCCTTTTTCTCCCCACAACAAACACCCTGTGAGGTAGGTGGGGCTGAGAGAGCTCTGAGAGAACTGCCCTTGAGAGAACAGCTCTGGGGGAACTTTGACTGACCCAAGGTCACACCAGCAGCTGCATCTGGATGAGTGGGGAATCAAACCCAGTTCTCCCAGATTAGAGTCCACGCTCCTAACCACTACACCAAACTGGCTCTCTGTGCATACTGGAAACCAGAGGTACGTATCTGGCCTCCTCCTTCACAGCCTTCCAGCAGCTCATGAAAACCTGGTGGTTCTGGAAAGCTTTTCATGCTGGCTGTTGGTTTGCATGCTGATGTTTGCAGGGTGTCTTTTCGTGCTTTGTTTTAATCATATAACTGAGGAGAATTATTTCCAAGTTGTCTATTGTTGTCAGTCTTATTATTATTAATAACAATAATTCATCTTTGTTGTTCACAGTGCTGGGAGTCCCTGTTGCTGTCTAAGAAACAGCTCAGAGATGTTAAATGAATAAATAAATGTAGGGGGTAGAGAAATATGGCAGTGGGGGGAGGGAGGTTTGGGGCAAAGGTCCAGAGTGTCCCCCCCCCCCAGTCCTTCAAGAATTTAAGAAGAAGAAGAAGAGAAGAGATTGGATTTATACCCCGCCCTTCACTACCCAAGGGAGCCTCAGAGCGGCTTACAAACTCCTTTCCCTTCCCCTCCCCACAACAGACACCCTGTGAGGTGGGTGGGGCTGATTAAGTTCAAAAAGCAGCAAGCATTTGATGCAGTTACCCTTTTCGACTTTCTAAGAATTACAGGAGGATAACAATTTCAACACAGACATGCTCACCTATGAGTTTGTTGTATGTGTGCCTGACATAGAGATCCATTTCAAAAGACCCTTTTCAAATTGCCTTTGTATTCTGTTTTAGTAACTGGTCGCTAATGAATTTTTTCCTGTCGTTTCAGACAGACGCATTTTAGTAGCTGGCTGCTAGCAGAATTTATTTACCTGTTTATACAAGCCACTTTTGAAGGAAACTGCTTTCTTTCCCATTTTCAACCCCTTCCTTGTGCTTTTGAATCGCTATGGTGTGCTGTTTAAAACGTACTTCCTACAATGCCACTTTTTTCCACACCCTTTTTTTGCTGCGCAATCTTCCTCGGACTTTTAAAAACATTCTAAGGTGAGTGCTATAGTGCCAAACTGCTATAGCATGTCAGTGCTATAGCAACACCATTGAGATGCATTTTTCCATTGAGTCAATGCATCTCAATGGTGCTGCTATAGTTTAGTGCTACAGCACTCACCTTAGAACTTTTTTTAAGTCCGAGGAAGATCATGCAGTGGAAAAGGTTGGGGGGGAAAGTGGCACTGTTTGAAATTACCATAGCGCTTCAGAGATGGCTCATTAATGGAAGGAAATTCGCTGTATGAAACCCGTGTCCCTGTATCACTTTACTCGAAATCGGGTCAACAATGAGTAACATCTTGTTTAGAATGGTAATGCGAAAAGGGCCAATCATTAGGCACAATAGCCTGTAAGAACTTTTTGTTCTTCTGCAGAATAACCACACATGGGCTGAAACATCAAATAGGGAACACATTCCCTAAGTGACAACGCTAGAGTTACCAAATGTCCTCTTTTTAGAGGACATGTACTCTTTCGTGGTGTCCATCCTTTTATGATCTCTTTTTTAAAAACTGATAAAAAATACCCTCTTTTGAGGTAGGAAGGTTAGGAATATTCCTCGTTAGTAGCTATTTTTGCAGCTTAAATAGAAAGGGCATTTAAAATGAAATTTGTCATGGCGGTCACTTTTTTGAAGTAGTCACTCAGGAAAAACATCCTCTTTTCCCTTTTCAAAACACGGCAACCCTAGACAATTTAAATATGTTTTCATCCTCCAGTATCTTCTATTAATGTGCCTATCTGTGTCTTCATCCTCCAGTGTTGTGGCATAGCTTCCATAGATGCGCAGGTGAGTTGGTCCTTTGATTTCTCATCACGGCAGCTCCCGCTAATGTTCTGTTTTGGAAGAGGCCAGAAGGTTTATTCCGCTCCTCCTGGGCTGCCGTGAAGAGCTGACAGGCTTGACGTGCTGGGCTCCACGGGCCTGTGCCAAAGAGATGTTGAGTGGCAAGAGCAATGGCAGCACCAGAGGGTGGAATCCGTTGGGGGCAAAGGCAAAGTCTATTCATGGAGACCACGGAAGCTGCGGTTCTGCCTCGAGCCCACCGCTACCCTATCTTCCTGGGCACGCAGCCCTCGATTTCCAGCATTTCAGGCCAGCCATCGTATTTGTTGGTGTCCTTATTATTTTTCAAGTACTGCAGAGGCAAAAGGAGACACCATTGTTACTTCCAGTTGGAACTTCTTGCTTTTTTTTTTTTGGCACTTGTCCTTCTGTCCCCCATTCCCCTCGCTCCCCGGATTCCTTGTTACATTGGCATGTACTAGGGTGGCCAGCCTCCAGGTGGAGCCGGGAGGTCTCCCAGAATTACAGTGGCTTGCCAGGTGACGAAGAGCAGTTCCCCAGAGTTCAGTCCCTCCCATTCCCAAACCCCGCCCTCCACAGGCTTCACCCCCCCAGTCTCCAGGGATTTCTGAACTCAGAGTGGGCAACCCTCTGAGCCCCTGCTGCTCTTCCCATGGAACGGCATTTCACTTTGTAGAAGGGGTGTGTGCAGGGGTAATTTTCTGCAGGAGCGCACAGGAGCGGCGCTCCGGCAGTAAAGAGCCCAGGGGGCGGGCACATGCAACAAGCCCCACCCAGCAGCCCTCAGTCAGAGGAATAAGCACCCAGGTAAGTTGCCGAGCTCCCCCCGGCCCCCCGGTCCAAAACAGTCCAGTGGCACCTTTAAGACCAAGTTTTATTCAGGTGCAAGCTCTCCCTCCTCTGTGAGGGCAGATCTGCATGTTCCCCCCCCCCATTAGCCAGCAATCCAAAACAGTCCAGTGGAGCCTGAGCGGTGTGTGTTGCCTTCTGACACACTTCCGGTGATGCCAGGGGGTGTGGCATATGCAAATAAGTTATGCTAATGAGTTATGCTAATGAGCTCCTGCACCTCTTTTTCCACGGAATGACCCCTGGGTGTGTGTGTCTTGATTTAGACAAACTCCTCCTCCACTTTGGTGTTCTATTAGCTGCCCGTGAATACGGTCTTAGGGGGCTGCTGCAGCAGGAGGGGTAAGCGGGACCGTCCTGCTCTGCAGTGTCTGCCGATGGACACCTGCCACTCTGGATACAAATATAAGCAGTAGCACCATATGCAAGATGTTCTGACTCAACGCACGCCTTACAGCTCGGGAAAGAAGGTGAGGCATGTTCATTTTTGTGCTTTATCCCATTATTTCAATCAGTTCTTGCCCTGTTTATTATTAATTTGGAGGGCAATGGCTGACAAGGGAAGAGCACAAAATTCTGGGACCACAAAATATGTGCAAAAAGGACATTCCTGTGGATTGCAGCGACTGTACCTGTTCAAACGGGGATTTGCCTTTGAGTCCTTTCCCACCAAGAAAGACCCAACTGTCCCGAAATCCCAGCTTGCCGGCATAGTTGCTCCCGAGTTCAGTCAACATCTCCCGTGCTTTATCATTCAGCCTAAGGGGTAGAAAAGGTTTAAAGACATCTGGGGGCCTCGAAGGGAAGACAACACAACACAAGAGACTCCGGGGTAAAGCCTAAAAGGGGCCAATTTTTCCTCCTCTGGAAAGGTACAATAAAAGCTGACCACAGCTACCACCACCGTGATGGTTAGGTTACTAGGACCCACCTGTGAATTTTATTTAAGCAGACCTGCTTGGCAATCTACACAAGAGGCTTACAAGACATCAGATCACGCCTGAAATATCTTTTCCCTCTCTTTTCTTTTTTTTGCTGTCAAATCACAGCCAACTTATGGCCACCCCGTGGGGTTTTCAAGGCTAGAGACATTCAGAGGTGGTTCACCACTGCCTGCCTCTTTGTAGCAGCCCTGGAATTCCTTGGAGGTCTCCCATCCAAACACTACGCCACACTGACCCTGATTAGCCTCTGAGATTTGATGCGATCAGGCTGGCTTAGGGTACCCAGGTTGGCACCTTTTTCCTCTGCCCCCTCCTTAAAAAACAATTCCGCCTGATGAAAAGTTCTGGAGAACTTGAGAGCTTGCAGACTGTTTCGGTTGGTCTTTGGTCTTGAGTCTTGAGTCAACGTATGACCTGGCTTTTGTTTTGTTGTATCATCACAGTCCAAGTTCTCCCACCCGTACCACAGCAGAAATGGGAACACTTGTTGTGTGCCACACTGTTTGTTTTACAACACAGTTCTGAAGGAGGAGGAGGAGGAGGAGGAGGAGGAGGAGAGAGAGAGAGAGAGAGAGAGAGAGAGAGAGAGAGAGAGAGAGAGAGAGAGAGAGAGAGAGAGGGGGGGGGGGGAAGAGAGAGAGAGAGAGAGAGAGAGAGGGAGGGAGGGAGAGGAGGGGATGTGGGCAATGTTCCCTCTAAGCTGAGTCAGTGTGAGCTAGCTCACAGTTTTTTAGCCTCCGGTTCACACGTTTTTGTCTTAGCTCAGGGAGGATGGCTCCAGAGCAAACTAATTTATGCAGTAGCTCACCAAGATCGCTCACTCACAACTTTAATGCCGGTAGCTCACCAAGTAGAATTTTTGCTCACAAGACTCCACACCTTAGAGGGAGCGTTGGATGTGGGGTGCTTCTTCACATAGTTGTAGCTAGAGATAGCTGAACACCTGTCCTGTTTACCAGTTGCAATTGGATTGCCAGGCCTCCGGTCCAGGAGGGGTTCCATCGATTTCGGGGGCTCTAATCCTCTGCCGGCCAGCTGGTACATTTTTATTATGCCCTTTATCCAAGGAGCTCGGGGAAATGTACATAGTTCTTCCTTCCCCAGTTTATCCTCACAATAACCTTGTGAGGTTGGGCAGACAAGACAGAGAGACTGGCCTCGTGTCAACTTTCACACCCACTGTGAAAGTGACAGTCAATGGCGTGGGAGTGGGTGTCCACACACCCTGTCCCTGGTGCTCCTCCCTCACCTCCTTCTCTCCTTTGTTTGTGTCTGGACAGAAGCTGAGGTGACAACCATCTTCCCCTGGGCATTCCCACAGGCCTACAGCGCACCCCCCCCCCCATTCCTCAGCTGTAAAAAAGAAAAGAAAAAGAAACAGAAGCCCATGTAAGGGGGGTGGGGAGAAAAGTTGAGCTTAGCTCTGGAATTTTGAAGGCCGAGATTAGATCCACGCCTCCCTCCCTCCATTGGTTGTGGGCAGAGTTTCTGTACTGAGGCTCGGCCTGCAGCTACCCCCCCCCCCATGTCCCTTTTCGAATCAGATCAAAGCATGTCTTCCTTTGATCCCGTTTGAATCGGGTTGCCAACTCGTGGTTGGGAAATACCTGGAGATTTTGGGGGTAGCACTGGGGGAAGGTGGGGCTTGGGGAGGGAAGAGGCCTCAGCACAGTATAGTGCCATAGAGTCCTCTCTCCAAACCTTCCGTTTTCTCCAGGGGAACTGATCTCTGTTGTCTGGAGGCAAGTTGTAACCCTAGGAGACCTCCAAGCCCTACCTGGAGGTTGGCAACCCTAGGTTCAAAAACAGGGAAGCATCAAGAACCCCACTGGTTATGCTTGGAGTGGACACCATGTTTGTATGGAAGCGCCCCCCCTTCCCCCACCTGCCCCAATGCAGGAGGATGTTATTTTCCCAGCAGGGAAAAATATCCCTGCGAGGGAGCAGCCAGGGTCCCCCAGCAAGCTGGGCAGCAAAATGGGGATCTGAACTAAGATTCCCCAGATCCTAACCCTGCACTCTAACCATTATGCTGCACTGTCTGTCTGTCTTTACAAAAGTCTTGGAAGGTAGGTAGGTGTTATCATTTTCTTTTTAGAGACCAGAGAGCAAGGCTGAGAAATGGTCACTTGCTTAAGCCTTGTAGCAAGTTCATGGCTGAAACCCCAGAAGCATGGCTTGTCTTATGCTGTTATAGACAGCTTCAAGAGGGGACTGGACAAACATATGGAGCAGAGGTCCATCAGTGGCTATTAGCCACAAGGTATAGGTGGAACACTCTGTCTGGGGCAGGGATGCTCTGTATTCTTGGTGCTGGGGGGTGGGCAACAGAGGGAGGGCTTCTGGAGTTCTGGCCCCGAGGTTGGACTTCCTGAGGGCACCTGGGGTTTGGCCGCTGTGTGACATTGGGTGCTGGACTGGATGGGCCATTGGCCTGATCCAACATGCCTTCTCTTGTGTCCTTAAGCAAGGCTTACATCATTGTGCTACAGATTACAGTTTGGAAATGAAGCAAGACTCCATGGGTCAAAGAATGATACTTTTAGTTTACTTACTTTGTGCCCGGGTCATCATAGGAGGCGATGAGCACAAGGGAACCTTGCTTAATGTCCTGCAGGAATGTCACTAAATCCTTTATATCTGAAAAACAAACCAAAGGAAATGACTTAAGTTTCTCTATTCTCTTCCTTACTCTGCCATCTAGTGGTCACATTAACGATTGCAGCTTCTCGAGGCTTTGGGTGTGTAGACTTGAAAGCGTAGAATTACCAAGGAGAAAAAAGGCACTGCATCAGCCCAGTTCATGACATCATCACATTTAAGAATTAAGAAACGGACCTACCTCCAGAATACATGTCAAAGGAACCCATCTTGATGACGTGGCCATTAGTTCCTAGATAGTGAATAGAAACACAACAACTTTTAATGAGCCAAATACACACACACGGAAACACACTTTGCCAAGCCCTTCTTTTCTGTCTATTTGGAAACTGTAAGAAAATAGCTAGAAATTTTAGTCACTGAGTACTAGGACTGAATTTCATATGCTGAGATATGTTTTTAGGTTAATTAATAAATTCACGTTGCTTGTTCTGCTTCTGTATGGCTTGTGGGCCGTAATAAACGATGAATGAAAAAATAAAAAATAAAATAATTAACAAGTGTACTTCAAAGTACTATCTATAATGTCCCTCTGTATAGTCTATAATCTACATGGCCTTTCCTTCCCCATTTTTTCCAATAATCCAGTAAATTAGGTTATGCTGACAGACCACAGGTAGCTCTAGGCCCCCAAGTGAAGTTCATGACTGAGTAGGGATTTGGACCTGTTATCTCCTCAGTCCTAGTTTTAGCCATAATATCTTTTTAAAATATGAATTAGCCTAGAATATATATTTTAGGACAACTGAAGCAGTACAATTGCTTTTTATGGCTGGTTTTTTACTATTAATAATTTATGTTGTTTTTTTAAGATCGTATAGCATCATTTCCCCGTATGATCTGCCTTGAGCAGGTCTCTGGAGAGGCAGCATATAAATGCTCTAGGAACAGAGGTCGATTTGGGGGGATTGCGGGGGATCGCAGTTCCCCCGGGTGAGGTGCAGGGGGCGGGGCACACAATGAGGCCCCGCCCCCTTCTTCCGGCCGCCCCCTGCTTCCAGCCTCATTCTGTTGCAGAAGGAGGAAGAAGCAGGAGGGTAAGTTGGTGTCCTCCCCCTCTGCCTGGTCGAGGCCACTCCCCGTGGCCTCCACAAGGACTCCCAGCCCCATCCAGGAGCTTCCCTGAGGTAGCTGTGTTAGTCTGTTGCTGCAAAATAGTCCAAGAGTTCAAATAGCACCTTTAAGACTATCAAATAGCACCTTTAAGACTAACCTTTAAGACTAAGACTAACTGAGTGGTGGGTGTGGGTTTATGACACACTTCCGGTGATGTCAGGTGGTGTGGCCTTATGACACACTTCTGGTGATGTCAGGGGGTGTGGCATATGCTAATGAGTTATGCTAATGAGTTCCCCTAGCTCTTTTTCTACAAAACGACCCCTGTCTAGGAAAATAAATACATACCATTTATGAGGTTTACCCTCATCTCACTGCTTGTCAAGCCGGTTTTTGTATTGCTTTTAAAATGTATGTGTGTAGCATAGATGCAGTGCTTCCTCAAGCTCCTCTGAAAAAAGGTTTTTCCAATCTGTACTGTTCAACCACAACCACTATAAAATGCACCATTATTTATTCTCTGATTAACTCCCACCCAAAGTGATTTTGTATATTAGTTGAGAAACTGCTCTGAAGGGGCTTTGTGATATCACAGGGAACCAGCCAAGCAGGGCCAAACAGCCAGCATTGACTGCAGACAGGGCTGAGGGAACCCCCCCTGGGCCTAACCCTTACAAGAGTGTACACCTAACAAAATACATTGCATGTGCTTCCACAGTGGGCTCATCACTTCAAGTTATGCACATCTCATCACATGGACTCTGTATTGTGAATGCACCCTTAGTAGGGTTGACACACTGTTCGGTCGGGGGATGTCTCAGTGACACAACCTCTCCCCCACCCTCAGTCATTAACGTGCCACTGGACTTTTATTCTCCCCCTTGCCAGGGCTCTATGTAGACCGGAGAGAAGTTCAAATTGCAGGAGAACTCCAGACTCTTCCTTGAGGTTATTAGCCCTAGCAGATGCCTCCCTGAGCTTGCTTGTTCCTTTTTTCCCCCCCAGTTGCAAAATGTACACAGACGTAAACTATTCTGGCCTCTTTATCCTCTAAACGGTGTCAGTTTCCACTCCGCTCTGCCAGATGCTAAACTGTGTTCTCAAGGTCAACCTTCTTATCTTGAAGTTTTATGATAACAGGGAGATTGGCTCTGGTTTATTGCGCAGGCAAGGCAGGATACAGGTCCATTAACGTTTCAGCCTACAATTTATGCATGCCGAGTGCTAGTAGGGCAGAGCAGATCACAGATGGAAAACAAGCCACCCTCTCCAGAGCGCCTGGGGAAACCAATCAGTTCCTGGAGCAAAAGGCCGGCTGTTCTTAACTGCAAATGTTCTCAGCTACAGCAGCATTTCTGGGCTCCTCCTTATCCTAAACCCACATTCTGCCTTCTGGCTACCAGCTTCAAAAGTCAGGGAGTCAGGTTTGTAGCCAGTCCTCCTTATTAGGTGGGATGACAACGTTTCTGGGAGGGGGGCAGACCTCTCCCCAGCCAATCAGTTTGCAGGGTAAGTAGGAGTAGTGGTAGTATGGTGGTGGGGATGGGGGTCCCCGCTCCAAAAAGAAGTTGACCATCCCTGCCTCACACCTTTTTGAAGCTCGCCATGTCATTAGCTACCTACCCAGCCACCCAGCCTACCTCCTCCCCTATCTTTCTTCTTCTTCTTCTTCTTCTTCTTCTTCTTCTTCTTCTTCTTCTTCTTCTTCTTCTTCTTCTTCTTCTTCTTCTTCTTCTTCTTCTTCTTCTTCTTCTTTCAATCTGTTCAACTTCTATACTAGCCTTCCCTGTGTACAGGGCCGCCCGATGGGGTTGCGCACCCTAGGCGAGGCCGCCTCATGGTGCCCCCCTCAGATGCCAACCTCCTGGTGGGACCTGGAGACCGCTCAGCTGGCCGCGGGGGGGGGAGACAGACACCACGCGCTGGGGAGCGCCTGCTGCCCTGGGCATGGCCCGCAGGAGGAGGAGGGAGGAGGGGCCGGCAGGCAGGCAGGAGCGCGCGCTGCCTCCCCCCCACCCGGTCGCCTCCATGCGTGCTCCCTACTCCCCCCCCAGCCTGAAGAAGCGGAGAGGAGGGAGAGTGGGGAGCCCCGCCGCCGGGGGGTGGTGGCCTGGCCCGCAGGAGGAGGAGGGAGGAGGGGCCAGCAGGCAGGTGCGCTCCCTCTCCAAAGAGACCCGCTCCCCTCTGGCAATCCCCTGAGAGGGCACTGGCATTCTCACCTGCACGCCCGCAGCAGCCGCCCTCTCCCCACCTCGCCGCCTTTTTGCAAGCTCCAGTCAGCCCCCAAAGGGGCTGCTTTCGTAAAATCTGCTTGGGCGCGGGGAGTAGGGGGGGGGAGACCCGGCTTGCCTGCCTGCCGAGACGCGCGGGTGGCCAGGAGAGTCCCTCTCTGTCTCCCCACCGAGCCTGAGGCTTGCAGAGTGGAGAGCCCCTAGCCGAGGCCGGTCGGATGCACGCCGGAGGAGGAGGAAGCCGGCCAGCCCTCGCCTCCCCCCCTCCCTGGGGGGCCATCCTGCTGCAGAGGGCGGCGGCGCGTGCTCAGCCCAGGCCACCCCGGCTCCATCTATGCAGGACGGCTCCACACCGACGGCTAGAGGGTGGGGGCGCCGCTGAGGCAGCGAGCTGGGCGGACGGGATGGGCTCGACATCAGGCGGGGGCCGGCCACAGGGGTGGGCGGGGAGGCGGCTGTTGACTTAGGTGCGGCCGGCCTGGCTCCGCTTCCTCCGGGGCCGAACCTCGCCCGCCTGACGTCGAGCCCGTCCCGTCCACCAGGCTTGCTGCCTCGGCGGCGGCACCCCCACCCTCTAGCCATCGGTGCGGAGCCGTTCTGCATGGATGGAGCCAGGCTGGCCTGGGCTGAGCGCGCGCCACTGCCGCCACCCTCTGCAGCGTGATGGCCCCCTGGGGAGGGGGGAAGGTGAGAGAGAGAGAGGGGCGGGCGGGCAGAGACCCTCGATCCCTGCTGCCTTTTCTCTCTCGCCGGGAGGGGGCGCGAGGTCCTGCTCCCCTCCCCGGCCCCTTCCCATGGCGCAGGCAGGCAATCGCCCGGTTGGGGGGGTGCAGTTTGGCGCCCCTGAGGGCCAGTGCGCCCTAGGCGAGCATCTAGCTCACCTAGCGGGTGAGCCGGCCCTGCCTGTGTACAGGGTTCAGGGCGGTGAACAACATTTCCAATAAACACATTACAACATTTCAATAACTACCTTCATGAAATCGATTAAAACGATTTAAAGCAATAACAGTTCAGTAGCAATTTCAGACGATGCTTGAAAATACAGCAATAGGAACCTAACCCCAGGGGGAGAGAGAAAAGAAGGATGGAAAGGAGGAGCCAGTCTAGATGGAAACCACTGCTGCCTCAACTATAGGCCAGGTGGACCATCTCTGTCTTACAGGCCCTGTGGAATGGAACTAGGTCCTTCGACAGAGAGATCCACCAGGTTGGCGCCAGGGCTGAAAAACAAGTGCCCCCCCCCCCAATGGAAAATGGCATATCCAGGGCTTTTTTTGGTAGAAAAAGCCCAGCAGGAACTCATTAGCATAATAGGCCACACCCAACAGCAGAAACTCGTTAGCATATTAGGCCACACCCATACCTTCCCTTGGCTTGCCTGGGCACCCCGTGGCTGTGGGGTGGCCAGGCAGGCCTTTGGACAGGCCAGGAAAGGCACAGGGAGGCATTTAAATGCGGCATTTAAATACAAGAACTCGTGGGCACTCCATGAAACTGCTGAGCGGTCGGGTTAGAACGGATAAAAGGAAGTACTTCTTCACCCAAAGAGTGATTAACACATGGAATTCACTGCCACAGGAAGTGGTGGCGGCTACAAGCATGGACGGCTTCAAAAGGGAATTAGATAAGCATGTGGAGCAGAGGTCCATCAGTGGCTATTAGCCACAAGGTATAGCTAGGGGCTCTGGGGCAAGTGATGCTCTGTCTTCTTGGTGCTTGGGGGGGGTCAACAGTGGGAGGGCTTCTAATGTCCTGGCCCCACTGGTGGACCTCCTGATGGCACTGGTATTTCTCGCCACTGTGTGACACAGAGTGTTGGACGGGATGGGCCTTTGGCCTGATCCACCTTTGGCGTCTCTTATGTTCTTCCAGGCCCCCCCCATGGCCCCCCCACCTCAGAGTCACTGGGGGCATCGCTTTCCAGGCCTTCCCTCTGTAGCCACGCACACAGAAGTTTTGGCTGTAGTGGGCGTGGCCAACTCTGAAGCCAGCCGGAACTCCGTTCCTGTGCTTTGCTGCCCAAAAATAGCCCTGGGCACATCACAAATTAAGATTCAGTAGGGTTACCGGATATCCTCTTTTTAGAGGACTTGTCCTCTTTTTTTGGTATCTGTCCCCTTTAGGGCTTTTTTAACAAAATGGATGAAAATGTCTTCTTTTGGGGTTGGAAGGTTAGGAATATTCCTTCTTGTTGTTGTTCAGTCGCACAGTCGAGTCCGACTCTTCGCGAACCCATGGACAAAATCACGCCAGGCCCTCCTGTCTTCTGCCAACCTCTGGAGTTTGCTCAATTTCATGTTTGTTGCATCGGTGACACTGTCTAACCATCTCATCCTTTGCCACCCCCTTCGTCTTTTACCTTCAGTCTTTCCCAACATCAGGGTCTTCTCCTGTGAGTGCTCCCTTTTCATTTGGTGGCCAAAATATTTGAGCTTCAGCCAGGAATATTCCTAATTAGTAGCAATTACCACAACTTAAATCATAGAGGTACTGAAAATGAGATATGTCATAGTGATCACTTGTTTGGAGCAGTCAGTCGGGAAATATGTCCTCTTTTTTGCATTTCAAAATGTGGTAGCCCTAAGACAAGAGGCGGAGCTAAGGCTACCTACTGGCTTGGATAAAAATGCCCAGTCCCTTTAAAAGAGGCTTAATGCGTGGAAATGGGCTGTTGAAGCTTTTCATGGCATGGAGGTCTATAATATTGCCTAGTCAATAACATCGTCTTAAACCTCTATTAAAGGGACAGGGGCCTCTCCAGGCCAGTTGGCAGCCCTGGGTAAAGCAGTGCTCCCGGTGCAGGAAAGCAGCCACGGTCCCCATCCTGCAGACAGTCATCCCTACAATATGCAGATGCCCTCATGTGCAGCTGTGTGCATCCAAATCCTGCATGCTGAAAAGCTGTGAATCAGGGCAAGAGAATATACTTTTAGGATGCCTGGACCTCATCCGAGTCGCTAGGGTTGCCAGGCTCCCCTGGCCACTGGTGGGGGATCGGGGGATCCATAGGGTTGCCAGATCCAGGTTGAGAAACTCCTGGAGATTTGGGGATGGAGCCTGAAGAGGACGGGGACCTCAGTGGGGGTACATTGCCCTAGAGCCTACCTTCCAAAGCATCCATTTTCTCCAGGGGAATTGATATCTGTAGTCTGGAGATGAGCTGTAACGCCAGGGGATCCCCAGATCCCACCTTGAGGCTGGCATCCCTATGAGTTGCTCACTCTGGCTTGGCTCTGTGTGGAGGTGACAAGGGCACGTCTGGCTATTTTGGGCAATTGACTTAACTAGCAAGAACCGAATAGTTCCTTCAAACTGTTATTTGCAGAATTCTTGGCCACAATCATCAAAAGAGGGTTTCCAGGCAGGGTCAGCCCATCTATTAGGCACACCCAGGCAATGGGCTGGGGTGCCTCCATTATCCCTGCCCATCTGTGGTGTCAGGGTCTGATGCAGCAAACTACCCCCAGTGGCACCCCCAACTCCAGTGGGCACCCTGCAGTAAGCCCAGGGTTTCCAACTCCGGGTTGGGAAATTCCTGGAGATTTGGGGCATGAGCCTAGGGAGAGTGAGGTTTGAGGAGAGGTGGGAACTTGACAGGGTATAATGCCATAGAATCCACTCTCCGGTTAATTCCTCTCAGCATTCCACAATTAAGAAAGGTACATCTGCCTACCAGTCTCCGATTTTGATATATTTATTTCCTTCACTATGTTTCCCCCCGGAATGAAACCCAAACAAATGGTGACCATATAAACTAAGCTCGTTATTCCTGTTTGGTCTTTGTGTCTTCATTATGTTGTATGTTAATTTGCTGCTCACCCTCTGCCTATATGTATGGATCGGTAACGTCCACTTCAATGTATCTGAAGAAGTGTGCGTGCACACAAAAGCTCATACCTTGAATAAAACTTTGTTGGCCTTAGAAGTGCCACTGGACTCGAACTTTGTTCTGCTGCTTCAGACCAACATGGCTATTCGCCTGAATCCTTGCTTTAAAGCAGTGATCCCCAGTATGGCAACCCCCCGATATATGTGTTTTCTGGTGCTCACTTCCTCCCCCCCCCCCAGCATCTCTTTCTCAAAGCCAGTCAAAGAGCTTCAGAAGAGCCCAGGAGACAACATCTTTGAAGGTGCAGGGAGGGTCAGTTTGGAAACAACTGCTTTCCTCATAGCAGGACTCTTTGCTAGGAACCTCCCAACATTTTGTGATTGTCCCCTGTCCCCATGGTAGCCTTTTCCGGTAGGGCTCTTTTCGTAGCAGGAGCTCCTTTGCATATTAGGCCACACACCCCTAGTGTAGCCAATCCTCCAAGAGCTTACAGAGATCTTCTTACTGGGGCTACTGTAAGCTCTTGGAGGATTGGCTACATCATATGCAAAGGAGCCATTTTGTGGTGGCGCCAAGTGCTTGTTCTCAGAACTCCAAAAATGCTGGCAGAGTCTACCCCTCTATTAAAGCATATGTGTTGGTGATGTAACATTGCTTTTGTCTTGTTATAATGTTCTTACAAAGCCAATGACAGGAAGCTGTTTCTTCTTTTTAGATGCGTATTACAAGGAGATGGACAAGTCCCTGATGCAGGTGGGACTCTCTCTGTACTCAGTACATGAAGACATGGCAAGCAGAGCAGAAGAGAGACCTCATGCTTGACGGAAAGTTATTGCCACAAACTCACCATTGACAAGAGCAATGTTCAAACCCCGGTCAACGTTATTTTTGATAGCGCTCATAAATCTAAAAAAAAAAGTGGCAAGAAGAAAAAGATGAGCCGTCGAAGTCCAGTACACAGAATGACGCGGTTTATGAATGAAAGCACAATTGTGCCATAGCACACTTTGCACAATGTTAGAGAATGAACTTAATATTTTGCTTTATGGACTTATATTTATTGCCACACACAATGGACTGTGCACACACACATAGACTCTAAGTCACCTGTTGTGATGCAACACATAGAAGGTGCCTGCACAAGCCTTACACGTGAATGAGGTTTCAGTTACACAGTTACCAGCCTGGTGAAGAAGCACACACACCTCCATTATTGTGAGCAGTAAGAAACAAGAGCTTGGAGAAGAGACAGCCCCCATTGCAGAAATAGTTGTAGTTACGTACTACCCATCACTGCTTTGTTCCTGCTTTGGTATTTCCTGCCAAATGGACATTTGGTTTACAATGGAATGGCCAGCTTCATCTACACTACAATGAAGAATCCTGACGCCAAGGTTTTCACACCTGCCCAGATGCCCTTCTTTGAGTAAGGTATTAGATTTCAATATTGGCCACTCCTGTTAGGTAACCACCCCTCCCTCCATGCAACAAATAGGATTGTTTTTGGGACGGACTAACAGGTAGATGGGCCAGGAGGTTGGCACGGCCACCACCCACCTCCTGGATCCCCTGATAAAAGGAGAGAACCGGTCACATGGTCTCTCTCTCTCTCTCCTACTCGATCAACTAGCATCTCCCCCGCAACAACCCCTGTCTGCTTTTTACTCCTCTTAAGTCCCACTTGCTATTCCCAAACCCTTGCCTCCACTGCCCGCATGTTCTGGCTGGTTCTGGTTATGTGTGAACTCCCTTAGTTTTCCATTTCTTCCCATCCATTCTTCATTGGAACAACCAAAGCTGCGAAGACAGATAAGTATCACCCATCATCACCCCCACCTGCTAATGCAAATGTGCTTATTTTAATACTGTATTTCTAAGGAACTTGATTGAATGTGTGAGTGCATCAGTATTGTTTGTATGAGATTTATTTTCTTAAGTAAAAGACATCTATTTTAACCACAACAGCCTCGAAATCTTTTACTGGTAACCCTCGGTGGGAACAGGACCTTGGTATAGTTGGCAAGGACCCATTTATAAATTGCCAATTGCTGTAAATAAAGCAATTTGGCTAACAACGAAACTTACACAGTATCCTCAAGGCACAGGGAAGGTCCGACGACATTGGCCGCGCCACTGACAATCTTGAAAGAAAAGGTGTTTTCAGGGCAACTTTGACGATTGCCACACTTATTTCGGACTTTTGATGCTTCTGAGGAGAGAGAGATCCAAAAACCCCTCTATAGATTATGCAGACACCTCACACTGTAAGGCCTAGGTGCACAGTGGCTATGTTTTGCAGTCTTGAATCCATGGCATTTGTGGGCCTCAGAGCAAGAGAGTGTCAGAGGGACTCTGCTCTTCCAGCTGCATCCCTTTTATGTTTTATGCTGGGCACGCTCAGTTGAAATGCACAAGCCAGAGTGAGTAAGAAGAAGGTTTAGTCTGGGAAATCCCCAGCCTCTCTCACTGTGCCCCCATATTACGGAGTGCCCAGGGCCCAGGCCTGCCTCTGGCATGGCATTTTTGTACCCAGTGGACAAGCTACATGAATGATTTTTTATGAGAAGCCAGCTTCTGAGACATTTATTTCGAATCCAGAAATGTAGTACTGGAAGTAACCTTGTGGGGGTGAACTTATCCAATATCAATATGCTAGGGTTGCCATCTTCCAGGTGGTGGCTGGGGTTCTGGAGTTATAACTGATCTTCAGGTGACAGAGATCAATTCCTCTGGAGAAAATGGCTGGAATGGGGACTGTATGGCATTATACCACACTGAAGTCCCTCCTTTCCCCCCACCCCAAACTCCACCCTCCCAAGACTCTGCACTCAAAATCTCCAGGAATTTCCCAACCCAGAGGTGGCAACTCTATAATATGTACATATTGAATTTTATGAGGTGCTCACAAGCGGTCCCAGTCCCGGATGTTGTGAACATCTGTGCGGGGGGCGAGGAAGAAGCAGAATTAACTTCCTGCTATTTTGCCTCTTTAAAACAAACCAGCAAACCTCAATACAGTGTACAGCACTGAAAAGCAGGAGTCTTTGCAACAAATGAGAGGAAAAGATTCGTGGACCTGCAGGGTACTCTGGGATGGGAAGGGGCTGTTTCGCTGGTGTTTGCAACTGACGGAGGCTCATACTTCCATCTGGGAGCCAGCGGAGATAATCCTCCTTACCATTTTGCCGCCCTAGTTCTCTTTTAAAATAGTGCAATAAACTGCAAGCCCAACAGGCCATCCTGAGGAGTTTTGAGGAGGTTAGTTCCTCCGGTGAGAATCTGGCTACCATTTTGGTTGCTGTGACAACAGGCCGCCAGAAATGACATCAGCACTCTTGCAAGAAGGGAGCGCTTCCTGAGTGCCACCTGCACTCCACTTGTAGATGTGTAACGAAAGCAAATGCTACAAAAATCCCATAATTCTCCAGTGCTCTCTCCTCCAACGGGAACCGCCCTCTGTGAGCACTGCCCTGGAACTTTTCACCATTTGGTGAAGTGGGGTGCGTAATAATATTATGAAATAAAATCAGGATACTCACTAGTTTGCGTGTCAACGGATCCTGTGTCGGCAACAAGGAAACAAAAGCAACGTGAAGTAAGGTATTAAAGGAAACGAACCACAAATACTTCTTTTGCATTAATATAATCAATCTGAAATGGATAACATTTGGAAATCTCTGGTGCTCTGGCACTTGGCTAAATGTTCAAGAAGGCCAGAGTGAGAGGGGAGCGCAAGGAGTATAACTCACCAGAGATGTAACTGAGGGGGATATTTGCCATTTGGCATAGTTACGCACGGCTGCTGTCACCAAAGGGGGAGTGCATCAACAGTTCAATATGCTTATACCAGTCCTATTGCTGGCTTTGTTTCAATGTAAGCAAGACACTCTCCTGTTTGCCTACTATTCTGTTCTCTGCTTATTGGGTGGCGGCACTTGGAAGTGCGTCTTCCAACCCTATCTGAAGAATTGTGTGCACACACGAAAGCAAATATCGCGAATAAAGCTTTGTTGGTCTTAAAGGTGCCACTGGACTCAAACTTTGTTTTCCTCCCCTGCTTAGTATGGAGAAGGCCCCGAGTTCCTCCTAAACATGATGCTTGCTTGGATGCAATGTATTTTTATATGAGTTTGCTCAGCAAACTTGTCTTGGGTTACCGAATGCTTCCCTCTGCCCTCTCTCTACAAGTGAACATTGTGTTTGCCTATAAAACATGGACAATGGCTACTGTTGGTCTGGACTTTGGCAGGGAGGTTCCCTTAGATGAGGGGTGGAAGCTCTGAGGAATGCATCTCAACTGAGCGGCAAAAGAAAACTTGCAGATGGAAAATATCTCCCCCCCCCCCCGAAATCAACCACTATGAAAATGGAACTGAACAATTAAGCTTTAATAATGAGTATAATGAAACGAAAAAGAAAACAACCCTAGCATGAAGTGTCTGGTCTTAACAGTTCTGTGAACATCTTTATAAAGGCTTATGATGTTCAAGAAGGCCAGAGGATACAGTGGAGTGAGGGGAGTTATAGGGTTGCCAAATCTTGTTAACCTGGCGGCGGGGGGCTCCTGCCCGGCGTCCTGAGTGCGTGCACACGCCGCCTGGATGTGACGTCATGACGCTGGGCACGCTGGGGGTGGGGCCATAGGCATTTGAGGGGGAAACATAGAGTTTTCCCCTCAAATGGCTGTGGCCCCACCCCCAGCGTGCCCGGTGTCATGACATCACATCCGGGTGATGTACACGCGGGGGTGGGATTTCCCCCGGGGCCCGATTCCGCGGGGGCAGAAATCGGGCCTCCAAAGCGGGGGGAAATCCGCCCCCCGGGGGGACTTGGCAACCCTAGGGAGTTACCTCAGGAATCCTATACTCAGTTTGTATTATTTGCATACTCATTGTGAATAAGCTAAGTTTAGTTTCTCAGGATCTGTGACTGATTGCCTTGCTTTAAGAATAAGTCTTAACATACAGCCTCCTAGGAAATTCTCCTGTGAGATCCACTGGAATGAGTGGGAGAGGCAAAAGAGTACTACTGCTCCCGTTATTTCAGTGAGGATAATACAGGGCAGTTTCCCAGTGACTGAAGTCATTTTCCAAGGAACTGATGTGAGTCTCCTCAAGAAGATGCTGGCAGTGGCTACAGGAGGGCTGAAGTGTCCTTTGACCCCTCCAGACACCCCCCCCTCAATTTTCACAGATGTCTTGTTGGGGCCATGAAGGTGAAATTATTTCTGCACTGATGTTGTGGATGACCTCTGGGATATAGATAGATAGATGATAGATAGATAGATAGATGATAGATAGATAGATACCTTCTTTCCCCGAAAATAAGACCTACCCCAAAAATAAGCCCTAGCAGGATTTCTATGCATTTGTGGTATAAGCCCTAGTGTGTCTTCTTGAGAAAAAATAAATATAAGACAGTGTCTTATTTTCAGGGAAACATGGTAAATAGACAGACAGACAGACAGACAGACAGACAGACAGACAGACAGACAGACAGACATAGAGATAGAGATAGAGATAGAGATAGAGATAGAGATAGAGATATATAGTGCACAGATTGTGTTCTGTGGCTGGGAAGGGAAAGACTTCAGTGTTACCAAACAGTGAACACTTCTGTTTCTTCAAAAACCTTCATGTGTGTAGAAAGACGCATCTTGCTTTTCCTACTGCAAGGACTCTCACTTTGCCCCATGATAGGTTGTTGAGGGGACTTAGAGAAACAGGTTTGCTGAATCCTGTCATGGTTACTAAGGAGGCTGCAGTCTTCTGGGTTGTGATGTGGCAACCCAGAAGACTTTAGCGATCATCCTTAACATATTTCTAGTTTAGTTCTAGACTAAGAATGTGGAAAGCTGATCTACACATGATGGTCCACACAGGTTGTTATGTCCACTGACCACCACCAGGGGCCAGTGAATACTCCTGAGCTTGACTCTGTAAGAACAATGGGGACTGGGCTCCTATTCTCTCGACTTGGGAACCAATAGGACCGTGGCGGGAGATTTGAACCCACCAATGGGACCTAGGGGGTGTCCCCAGGTGTGTATATAGTTGGCCAGCCGGCCAGTAGTTGTTGTCTCTGTTGTGTACTAGTAAACCATGCTGATCACTACATCTGTCTCAGTGGTTTTTACATGCATCTACCCCATTACCTAAACAGCATGATAAAAAGTAGAGATATCACCCTGCCAACAAAAGCCCGCATGGTCAAAGCAATGGTATTCCCAGTAGTCATGTATGGCTGCGAGAGTTGGACTATAAGGAAGGCCGAGCGCCAAAGAATAGATTCTTTTGATCTATGGTGCTGGAGAAGACTCTTGAGATTCCCTTGGACTGCAAGAAGATCACATCAGTCAATCCTAAAAGAAATCAACCCTGACTGTTCCCTGGAAGGCCAGGTAATGAAACTGAAGCTCAAATACTTTAGCCACCAAATGGGAAGGGAGCGCTCACTGGAGAAGACCCTGATGCTGGGAAAGATTGAAGGTCAAAGAAGACGGGGACGGCAAAGGATGAGATGGTTAGACAGTGTCATAGATGCAACGGACATGAAATCGAGCAAACTTCAGAGGACGGCGGAAGACAGGAGGGCCTGGCGTGATCTTGTCCATGGGGTCGCAAAGAGTCGGACTTGACTGTGCGACTGAACAACAACAACAACACCCCATTACACGTCACAGGTTGTGTCTGGCTTCCTTACTTTGTCTTTCAGTGAGACATGAATTGCAGGTTCCCTTTAATTCCCCTGTAAACAGTGCCTGAATTGGACTGGGACAGTGATGTGTTTGGGGAGAAGGGGAAAACTGAAGCTCCTTACAGTCTACTGGGTGCTAATCTGAGTTTGGCACTGTGTGTTGAGGGGAATTCAGTGGAACCTGCAACTGACTGAAATACAAAGCAGGGAACCCAGATACAACCTGTGTAGGTAGTAATGAGTGAATCAACCAAACACTGATCCTTTTCCTTTAGCTGTTTTCTCAGGGGTATAGCTATGACAGTTTAGCAGGCCAATGAACTGGGTTGGAGGGTGGAGAGAAAAGAAAAGCGCAATCATAACTTACCCAACCAGCTCCTCAGGTTGACTGATTTTGTGCTGACTTGGTGGAAATAGGTGGAGGCGAAGAGCCAGGTTGTGACTAAAGTGAAGAGTATAGCCAGGCCCCGCAGCACGACTGCAACACAAGGAATGTGGAGATGGGCAAAAGCCGGTGAGACAGAAATACTCTAGATAGCAATGCAGTAAGACAAAGCTGGGCATAGGACTTAACTCAAAGTAAGAGCCCAAGCCCTGCTCTGCAATTTAACAAATTCCTGTACATTTCCTAAAATAAAATAAAATAAAATAAAATAAAAAACCATCATATTGTTGCCAGCTCTGGGTTCGAAAATACCTGGAGACTTTGGGGAGTGGAGCCTGTGGGGAGGGGAGGGGCCTCAGCAGGGTACAAAGCCAGAGAGTCCCCCCTTCAAAGCAGCCATTTTTTCCAGGGGAGCTGGAGATCTCCAGGCACCACCTGGAGGCTCTAAGAGCCTAAGCTAAATGCTGTATGCTTTTTTTAAACCATAAATATTCAAATAACAAGTCTAAGTGGTTTTTTGCATTATGAAATATTCATAAGTATTCCAGTATCCAATTTTCTATTGTTTCATGCATACACAATGAAAAAAAAATACGATGACATAAACCAATCACACGATAGAAAGCTCATGAATTACAAGATTGGGGTGTGTTTTTACAAAGTCACCGGAGTGAAAAGAGGTCCTTCTAAAACAATGGTACCAATAAAGATATAGACCTTGAATCGGGCCAATATTTTCAAAAGCTGTGGAACATCCACTAAAGGCCAAAATGAGCTTGGCAAGGTTTAGAACTCCATGATATGTCCACATAGGTGTGTCAATCCTTAAACTCTATAAATTGAACTACTACTGATGCAGATCCCAGGTAGGCTGAGGCGTTTCATTTCTTCACCAGAGAGTATAGTTCATGCAGTTTTCCCCTGATAATTCTATATTGGGGCTTATCATTAAACATCAAAAGCAGGATCTCCCAGGAACATCAAAGCTTCAAAAACCCATGAAGAATAGTGCCAAGAGCTTGTTGTTAGTAGTTAGTAGATCTGCGTTAGTAGTAGTTCAGTGTATAGAGTTTGTTTGTTAGGACCTTTTTTTCACTTCGGTGACTTTGTAAATACACACCAATGGTGATTTTAGGGGAGAAAAGTCTTTCTCCCACCAGCTGCTGCACTGCTGGTGGGCAAGTCCCAGTACAGCAACAGATTTATTGGAAAATGGGGGAAATCTCCCAAGAAGCCTGAAGTCACTGCCCAATCAGACCTTTCAGTTACGCTGCTAAGAGACCAGTACTTGACCCATATATTTCTCTTATTGATAATGCCACAGGAAGCGGTGGCAGCTACAAGCATGGACGGCTTCAAAAGGGAATTAGATAAGCAGATGGAGCAGAGGTCCATCAGTGGCTATTAGCCACAAGGAATAGATAGAGACTCTGGGGCAAGTGATGCTCTGTCTTCTTGGTGCTGGGGGGGGGGGGGAACAGTGGGAGGGCTTCTAATGTCCTGGCCCCACCGGTAGACCTCCTGATGGCACTGGTATTTCTGGCCACTGTGTGATACAGAGTGTTGGACTGGATGGGCCTTTGGCCTGATCCAACATTGGCGTCTCTTATGTTCTTATGTTTTTATAATGCAGCTTTAAAGTTGAATGAACCAGGGGGTCTTTATGCGAAAAGCTGTTTACTAGCGGGCCAAGCTAGTCACCACCAATGCTCCCTCTAAGCTGTAGAGTTTTGTGAGCAAAAATTCTACTTTGTGAGCTACTGGCATTAAAGTCGTGAGCGAGTGATTTGGCTGCTGCATAAATTAGTTTGCTCCAGAGCCATCCTTTCAGGGCTAAGATGAAAACGTGTGAGCTAGAGGCTAAAAAACTGAGCTAGCTCACACTAACTCAGCTTAGAGGGAACACTGGTCACCACGCCCCAGGCGGTTCTCAAGGTCCTTGTAACTTCATTGACCTGAATGAATGAGAAGCCACTAAGGGGAAGGAGGGTGGTTAATGCTTCAGGGCTTGTTGGGGCATGATGTTCTTTTCCTGGCCTAGAAGGAATCTGATTGGAGATTTATATATATCACTACTTTTTGTGAAAACATAACGAGGACACTCCCTTTCCAGGTAAGAGGTAACCCTTTAGCCACAAATGCATTCTTTAAAAAACTTTTCCTGTGGTAGCCAAGATAAACTTAGAAAACAATGGCTATGTATATACCAGACTGGGATCTCTGTAGCAGAAAAATAAAAGAGGAGTCCTGCAGCACCTTAAAGCCTAACAATTTTTACCCCAGCACAAGCTTTCGTGAGCCAGAATTCACTTCATCAGGTGTTATAAGTGTTCAGTCATGAGGCAGACGTATTTATATTCAGAGCTACAAACAACAGAAAGGTGTGTGTGTGTGTGTGTGTGCTGGGGGGGGGGAGATGTTATAAAGAAAGAGAAGTTGAAAACAATATTCAATCAAATGGAAATGTATATCCATCATAAGATTGGCCTTGATGGATAAGATCAAAGATCTATGTGGTTCAAATCCATCTTCTTTTCTCCACAGATACAAGTAGGGTTGCCAAGTCCTGGTTGGCAAATACCTGGAGATTTTTTTGGGGGGGTGGAGCCTGGGGAGGGCAGGGTTTTGGGAGAGGAGGGACCTCTGCAGGTATAATGCCATAGAGTCCACCCTCCAAAGCAGACGTTTTCTCCAGGTGAACAAATCTCCATCGTCTGGAGATCAGTTGGAATTCTGGGGGACGTCCAGGCCCCACCTGGAAGTTACAACAAACAGGACCATGGTGTATAATAGCTAGTAAAACAGTAAATCACCGTGTACAATTAAACAAAATTTGTTGGTTTTTATATGCAATGTTTAGAATTCAATTATTAACAAAATTACAACAATAACACTACAATATGCAATATAAAGCTTAGCAGTACATACAGAGTAATACAGTACTAGTTACAGACAAACGACGGCGTTCTAGTACACTATCTGTTTGCGTGTCCTTCTTCAGGTTTGTCATTCTGTAATTATTTCTTCATTAGAATGAAGTGCTGCAAGCCATATTTCAAAATGCTGATTCTTATACAATTTTTTGAGTACGCTACCGCGCTTAGATTCTGGTGACTGGGGAGCTCCTATAGCAAGCTCTAATGTGACTGGGTCACATTAGAAGCTTAGCCAATTATTATATGCTGTAGACCCAGTCACATTAGAGCTCAGCAAACCTTGGCTCAGGGAGGCTGGGGGACCAAGTGGCCTGCTGTGACAAGGCCCTCAGATATCCCTCATCCTCCGCTATCACTGAATGATACCTTATAAGATTGTGTGGCCGCCTTTTCCATAGGCGGGGGCTCAGTAGTAGTAGCATCTTCCTGTGTGCCATACCCCCTTGCAAGCTGTCACTGAGGAATTTCACACAGGTGTCTCATTAGACAGGATATGGGCATGTCCTCATACCCTTAAATTTGGGGACGGGGTACCTTTTGGATAATTCCAACACCCTTCTGCAGTCAGCAGAACCCACCCCTCCTTCATTTGCACAGCTGACAATGCAGGACCGGAGGAGGTTGAAAATTCATATCGACAAGAGGGATTAAACAGTTGTAAGGAGCATAGAGATAAGCAAACAGTGGCATGCTGTGCAGCCTCGAACTTCCGGCTGCTAACTGAAAGCTGCCACTTGTAGAGCAGGAGGAGTGTGCCGGGGTGGGGGGTGGGCTGCTTTTCCTGCATCCCTATGCTGCTTTGCCCTATTCACCAGGCACTAGTTACCCTGTACCTGCTGGGGTACAATGGGAAAGCTTTCCAGAAAGCTGAACGGGAAGAGGAAGTCAGAATGGATGGCGAAAAGCCAAGAGCATCCAGTCTCATCCCATGGATTTCTCAGTTAGACCTCATTTCCTCCTTCTCTTACCTGTCAGTCGCATCCTTTGGCTTTAGCGTAGCAGCCCAAATTGCAGTGGCTTCTCAAAGGCGACGAGATAACCTGATGAAAATAATAAGGCAGAAGATGTCAGGTGAAAGAAAAGGACAGCAGAAGGAGAGTTGAATGCGTTCACTGCACGGGCAGGGAAGGGAACAGGCAAAGGAGGAAGTCTGTGGCTTTCCTGTCCTATGTGGTGGTCGGACTGTTAGGCTGATCTATCTGGCAAATTCTTAGGGGCGTTGCTTGTGAACGATGGTCTCTGTTCCCCATCCATTATTCAAAGACACTTGAGAACCAGAATAAAACAGAAGCCCAGTGGTCCTGTGGTTGCCAGCCTCCAGGTGGGGGCTGGAGATCTCCCGAAATAACTTCTTTCTTTATTATTTATTTGAAACATTTATTCCACTTCTCCTGGAGAAAATGGCTGCTTTGGAAGGAGGAACGCATGGCATTATACCCTAAGCAAGGTGCCTCCCACTCAAAACGCCACTCTCCCAGGCTCCACCTTCAAATCTCCAGGTATTTCTGAACCAGGAGTTGGCAACTCTAAGTGGCCGCATGCATGTCACTAGGAAGTGACGTTATGACGCTGGGCACGCTGGGGGCGGGGCCACGACCATCCAAGGGGAAACCATAGAGTTTCCCCTTGGATGGTCGTGGCCCCGCCCCCAGCGTGCCCGGCGTCATAACGTCACTTTCTAGTGACATGCACGCCGGGGGTGGGGTTCCCCCGGGGCCCGATTCCGCGGCAGCGGAAATCGGGCCTCCAAAATGGGGGTTTACCCGCCCCCCCGCCCCCACTTGGCAGCCCTACTGAAGACTGTGGGGGTGGAGCCTGGGAAGGGCAGAGTTTGGGGAGGGGCCTCAGGAGGGTGTAATGCCATAGAGTCCGCCTTCCAAAGCAGCCATTTTCTCCAGGGGAACTGATCTTGGTCATCTGGAAATCAACTGTAATAGCAGGAGATCTCCGGGTTCCACCTGGAGGTTGGAATCCCTAGTTCATTACCACTGATTGGACGTTGAGGCAAGATTTGAACCCATATCTCTTAGAGCCTCACCCTGCACTCTAATCGCGATAACTCACTGGCTTCTTTCTCTCTTCTCCTCTCCTCTTCTGAAAGTGTTCCAAGCTCCCTCCCCAGCTTTAGAGGCCTTGTCTGCTCTCCTGGTTCTTTGTTTCGAAGGCGCGCGCAGTGATATGAGTGTCCTTTCACCACCAGACTGTACACCGTTGTACTGATTTGCCTGCTGTCATTGATAAGGAGCCAGTTCAGCGGCTAAGTGGCCCTTCAGGAAACCATCCAGTTCAAAGGTCGTCTCTAAGGGATGAGCCTTTCTGCTTCCAGCTTCATACAGCTTCCCTCCCCCAGCTCCAATATGGGGATTATAATACTAGGTGACCTGGGCCATGCTAAGGATTATGGAGCTAATCTATGTGAAGTGATCCAAACATTCTAAAAATACTCTATTCATTCTTCATATCATCACCATCGCCATCATTACCAGAATGGTAGTATCGTGCAAATGAGAACATGCTACTGAGCCATTCCATCACATGTAGTGTACTTAGCTGGCCCAGGTCCCAAGTCACTTGACCCTATTAAGGATTTCATTCTCTCCAGATTACTTCCATGCACCCTAATACAAATAGGATTCTGTTTTGCTGCAAACAACTAGTGAAGAGTTATAAATGGGGTGGTCTAGTTATCTATACACAGTCTCTCTTTTTGCCTTGTACAAGATTCTTCTTTGAATTAGATACTAGACTCCAAGTCATAGGGTCGTAAGGAAACCTTGAAAATTTCACTGATAATGGTAATTCAGATCCAGCCCAATGTCTCCCAGCCATCTCTTTTATCTTGGCAAGTATGGCCAAGTCTGGGTTTGCAGACAGACCACCATAAGACCATTTTTAGAAAGGGAAAATAATGAGCATATAGTCGATCAAATATTGTCTAACAGCCACAAAGCAAAAGAAAAGAACAAGAATGCATTCTCCCACCCCAGGATAAACTTTATTAACTACGTTATTTACTTTACACTTGAGACTCAAGGTGGATTACAGAATATAGAGCAATGTAACCAGACAGCACAAGGCAGCCAATGAACAGTGCAATAGGACTAGGACCACAGAATTAGAGAACAATGCAATCAACAAAACTAAGGCAAAGGTATAAACAATGTAGAACGTGAATTACAAGGTATGAGACAATACAGTAAAAGTAGGTGATAGTTGCTGTGGACTGCAGTCCTATCCTATTATAAAGGTTCCCTCTTGGACTCCTAAAATGCTGAATTAAGAGGCAGACAGAATAATCTTAAAGTCTTAAAGTTTAGGGCTCTCTCTTCCCCAGCCTTTTCTGGTTTTTTTTCATTGAAGCCTTCCCAGAACAACTCTCAGTTTTCTCCCCTCCCCCTGAGGGAAAAAGTCCCCAATCTCTAAAAATCTCCCACAGGTCTCTTCCCACAATTCTTTCTTTTCAACCTATTAGATGCCTCCCATCCTACCTGATGGGAAATTACAGCTGGACTCCCAAAAGTTTCCCAGAGCACATGCAGGTCCTGGTGCCTCTGGAACAGTTCTTTATTCTGTTGGCTATCTCACAGCAATGTATGATTTGGCGCCTTGCTAACGTGACAGACTGAAGGCAAGAGAGAAACCTTGATTGGCAACGTTTTGCCTACCTATAAAGGTGGGTTTCCTCTTGTGACGTACACACGCCAGTCCGATGACTTTTGACTCTGACGTTTTGCTTTGATCGCTATTTCACCCTTGCGAGATACGGAAAGAATTCTGGCAGCCAGGCTGTTTTCTTTCCTTGTTGACTGATTGGGGTACCGGCCTTATCTGCCGGAGGGAGCTTTGGCTCTAGAAAGCTGTTATGTAGTGGGTAGCCGCATGGATGAACGACAGACAACGACGTGGTGCATAGCACGCTTTATTAGCACACAACAAGACAAGAGATAAACGGCCAGCAGGCCAACTATATACACACCTGGGGACCGCCCCTGGTCACCATTGGTGGGTTCAAATCTCCCGCCACGGATCCCATTGGTTCCCCAGAGGAGGGACTAGGATCCTAGTCCCTATTGTTGTTCGGACTGAAGTAGGGCATATGCGCTGACCTCCGGTGGTGGTCCGCGGACACTACACCCCTCCCCCCATAGTCCGGACCTTGCCCTATGAAACATAGTCTTTCAGGTACGCTGGAGGCTGACGTGCCCTTGCTGAGCGTCTGGGTCCCTGTGCTGGGGCCTCGGGAGGCCTGACCTCCGGGGCGGGTGCTACCGGTGGCGCCGGGGCTTCCGCGGCCG